AAACAGCTAGGCAATCTTTCGCGGGATCAAATATTTGAACAACCAAGGCAAGTTAGAAAACTCACATAAATACCAACAGAAAGTTTTTAATGGTGCATTAACTGTTAGTCACTTGTTCCAAACGGCGCCCCATCTACAACTCAGCTAAGCCGCTATGCTTGGATTTAGAGGAGGATTAAAGGGCTATTTGGCTTCAAAGGAAACAGCTAGGCAATCTTTCGCGGGATCAAATATTTGAACAACCAAGGCAAGTTAGAAAACTCACATAAATACCAACAGAAAGTTTTTAATGGTGCATTAACTGTTAGTCACTTGTTCCAAACGGCGCCCCATCTACAACTCAGCTAAGCCGCTATGCTTGGATTTAGAGGAGGATTAAAGGGCTATTTGGCTTCAAAGGGCTGCATGGGGGTGGGGGGTGGGATGAAAGTCCGGTTTACTTGGTTTGAAGTAAGTATCGGGGGTTAACTGACTTGTGATGCGGATCATTGAACTCCAGCATCTCGCCGCCACCACCACCATTTCCAAGCTTACTCCCCGGGATTTCACTGGGACTTACTTCTGAGTAAACATGCTTAGCATATGACTACAAAAGAACGCTCAGTTGAATTCAAAGGGACTTGGGCCAGGTAAGTGCCTATACTAGTGACCTCAGCTGACCCATTACAGCCAGAACAGAGAACCCACTCGGAAGGAACATTCCCCTGAGCAAAGGCAATTGAAACGGACGGGCTGGATCCCAAATTACCCATGCTTCGAGTAGACGTACAGAAATCAACGATACTGCCACTGGTCACGATTAACCTAACCCTTTGATTTCCACGAGTCTACTCTGCTCGTGACTAAGTTTAGATCCATCTCAGGGAGGGAGGGAGGGTTACGCAAGAGGGTAGCTCCTATTCATTTCACTTTCATTTGTGCAAGGGAAATGCACCCAGAGACGTTGCCCCTTTTGGGAACCCCCATCTCAGATAGCCCATTTTGCTCTCAGAAAGAGGCACCCTTAATTAGACACGCCAGACCTTCAAAATAACCCTCAGTTTATAATTTTTTCTGCAGGATGAAAAGAGGCTTCTGCCTTATCAAGGAGATTTTGGTTAGCTGTTTTAAAACAAAGATTGCCGGCAAGGAGTTAAAATAATACACAACCTCCAGTGAACTTAAGATATGGCTGTAGCCTAGCCAAGCTTGTGACAAATAAAAAGCTACAGTCTTTAAGGAGTCACAAGTTTCTGCTACCTCCCGAGTCACATCACATCCAGAGCGGTTGGAATTTGTGCCCTTCCTAGGCATAGGAATACAGCTTTTTGCCTCCAAACCAGTTACTTGCCTCGGTTTCGTTCTCCCTCCCCCACTTCACTGCCACTTGATTTGTTAATAACCCTTGGCTTGAAAAAGTCACCCCAGCTAAAATTCCTTGAAAATCATAATACTAACAGCAAATAACAACACCACGTGGAGGGAAAGGGAAAAACCCCTTTCCGCCCTTCTGGTCGTCTGAACCACAGGCTAAGGCGATCCTGAGATTCCGGTCCAGGGACAGCCCCAGCCAAAGGAGCCTGACGTTCACAGAGCAGGAAAAGCCCACCATCCAGGGGCCTTCTTCCCTCGTTTAAGGTGCTTAGTTACTTGGTAGAAATATCTAGGCAAGATATTTCGGCTATTATTTATCACAGGGCCTTTCCCCTGTTTTTCCTCCTCTCTTTCCCTGTCCTTACGGAGTGTACGAAGCTACCAGCATGGATTTGACCCAACTCCGGGAGACACTGGAAGACCGGAGGGCCTGGCGTGCTCTGGTCCATGGGGTCACGAAGGGTCCGACACGACTTAAGGACTAAACAACAACAGTAAGGAGTGTCATCTATGTTTCATCTCCGTCACAGTGTGTTGCTAACCTACAGACTAGTGAGAGGAAGGGGGAGCCTACACACAGACCAAGAAAACATCCACACAACCCAGACCAAGCGGGTAACCCAACCAACCTCCTTTGGAGGAGGGCGGACGTACACACGTGCTTGATGGCACAGTTCTGGGCTCTGATTTTAAAACGGAAGAGGGGAAAGCGGTGCTGTTGCTGTTCCTTTCGGGAAGCGTCCATTTGTTAGCGACCGGTTTTTCCATTCGGCAGCTGAGGTGCCTCCTGGCTTTGCCTACACGGCCGCTACCCATTTTGGCTCCTTGGAAGAACAAGGCGCCTAAAGGAAAGTCAACGGAACGTAAAGGCGAAGGGCTTTCGCGTGTCTCCCCCTCCCCTGCAATAAATGGCGCTTACGTCCTGCGTTCCCTTCACACCGCTAAATTCTAGAGCTTTCCGTCGGATTTTTAATCTCCACACAAGCCTCCTAAGAATGGTGTTCTTAAACTCTTAGCAAACCTAAAAATGCAGTTTTTCTGCATCGCTGCCTTGGCAGTCATGTGGAAGAGATTGCAGGGCCTGGGACGAACCCCTGAGCAACGCCGAGGGCTAAACCCCCCCCCCTAGGCAGAGACACCCGGAAGGGCCACCACGAATTCTGGGGGGCTCCTTGAAACCAGCTCCTTTGGGGATCCGGAACACAGCGGCGGGACCCTCGCCTTCAGAGCCCAGCGGGTCCTCACAGTGCCCGGTGGACTGGCGGCCTTTCAGCGGCAGGCCATTTTCTCAACCTCCCTCAACAAATTCCTCTGTCGCTTGATCAAGATCTCGTAAGAATCTGTGAGAGGCGGCTCAAGAGTGAGGTCCACAATGCGGGTCAAGAGGGCGCATCCCTGAGAAACAGAAATGCTCGGATTTCACCCTACCAGTAACACCCTCCTCGCCTGAAATCCGCTGGGCTTCCCCGGTAATACGAGGTTTACAAGTGAGGAAAGATCTTCTGGAGGGTAACTCATACAGTATTTTCAATTCTGAACGCTCCCGACTCGCTTTCAGAAGCTTTGTTCGTTCCCAAAGCGAGATCAAACCGTGTAATAAACACCTCCACCATTTAAAAAGAATGATTTAAAAGATGCGTGCCTCTTGTCTCACTCGAAACAACGGGAACAGAGAATCTTCAATTCAAAATTGCGCAAGTTTTAAGAAACCCGGAGTTGAATTAAGAACAAGGAAGGACAACAACCCAGCAGGACGGCGTCCTCGGTGCCTCCCCGGCTTGAGCTGTGCGAGAACTCCGCAGCTGTTACACAACTCCTGTTAATTTCCTTCGGCTTCCGCAAGAAACTTTCTCGCTCAGTCAGGCCCGACGTTTTCTTCTATTTTGGCTTATTTATTCATTTTTTTTATTTTGTAAAAGACGCAAAACGGTATGTGTCGACGATGGACTCCATGATATCTATGCTGCCCCCATGGCCCGCTGGGTCCCAATCACAGAAGCTTTACTATTTTCTGCGTCACTATATCCATCATCCTTTACCAAAGCCGGCTACTATTAGCCATAATAAAAAGCTTTGGTTTTCCTTGGAAACAAGCGGGAGTAATTTAAACTATCTCCTTTGTTTTTGCATTCAGATTCTTAGTTTGTTAATAATAATAATAATAATAATAATAATAATAATAATAATAATAATAATAATAATAATAATGAAGCAGGGATATCTTATTTTCAGGCATAGGACTGAAAAGTTGGGTATTAATAAACTTTATAGTATTACTATTATTACTGGAGCACCTAGGTCTCCCTTCCCCTTGTTACTTTTCATCCACGTCCACATTTATAACAAACGCCAAAGATGCTTTCGAAACAAAAGTAAAACTTTTTAATACATCAAATATACGGAATTTTAATCTTTTAAAGTGATACATTGTCTATTGTTTTTGAAAAGTTGGGTATTAATAAACTTTATAGTATTACTATTATTACTGGAGCACCTAGGTCTCCCTTCCCCTTGTTACTTTTCATCCACGTCCACATTTATAACAAACGCCAAAGATGCTTTCGAAACAAAAGTAAAACTTTTTAATACATCAAATATACGGAATTTTAATCTTTTAAAGTGATACATTGTCTATTGTTTTAAATACATGACGTCATCCTTGTTTCTCCCCCTCCTACAGGGTGGACTTAAAAAATAAAAAATAGTTAAGTGTTCCTTTTAAAGAACAAAAATAAGGCAAATGGAGGTTTTTGGAATAGAGTTGTTGTCGGGTTCTGTTTTCTTCCAGAATATATACAAAAAAATACCCATTTTCCTTCTGCCATGGCACACATTTTAAAAAATAATTGCAATTTGAAATTCGAGGTGACAAATTGCAAGTTAAGTGGTGTTGTTGGTTTGATTTTTTTGTAAAAAAAAGAGCATGCATTTAGGGTTTTTCCCTACCCACCCCCATTGAGACATTAAATAAGAACGTACAATACAATCATATCAATTTTAAAGTAACATTAAAGAGAAGACCTCTATTTTTTTGTTTCCTTTTTATTTATTTATATTCTACAACGGGTGTTTCCACTTTTAATTTTTTTCTTCCTTTTTTAAGCCTATTGAGCTGAAGTTAGGTAATGCACTTTTATTGATTCATCGTCCCGCTTGAAGCTAACATAAATAAATACAGTGCCCATGGATCCAGTCCTCAAGATGAACACTATCTTTATATATATATATATATAAAAAGAAGTCAAATTTCAATTTTCTGTTTGCGGTTTTTTTTTAAAAGAAAGTTTTGAAGGATTGCTTTATGTTCTTTTCCCCCAGAAGTGTTGCTTTAAATTTCGCTCTCACCCCAATCCCCCTCGACCAAAAAGAAAGAAAAAAAGAAGCCCCCATCAAAATCAAAGGAACCCCCAAAAAAACTCACTGGTATCCCAAAGCGGACGCTGTCGTCAGTCTTTGCCCATAGAGTGCGTAAGGGGAGTAATAGGGTCCCGTGGCCGCGGGGACAGGCACTGGGGCTCCGGGGGTGGGCAAGGGGCTCTTGGAATAAGGGTGGTAGCGGCTGCTGAGTCCCAAGGCGTGGTGCGGGCTGCGCAAAGCCAGCGTGCCGGGACTGCCGGGGGCCCCCGTGGTCGGGATGTGCATGTGGCAAGCCATGGCCGCCGCCGCCGCGCTGGCTAAGGAGGTGGAGCTGGGGTAGCTGGAGAGCAGCTTGTCCGTCCCCGGGAAGGCCGTGTGAGTCCGCAAGTGGCTGAGGAGCTCCTCGGAGGTGGCGAAGCGCTTGTCGCAGGGTCCGTTGGCCGACACCCAGTTGCAGATGTGGGGCTGCGGGTCGTTGGGGAGCATGAAGCCGTAGGGGTACAGGGGGTGGCCGGCCAGCGAGGGCGGGGTGGTGCCGCTCAGCGAGGAGTGGACCGTGTGGAGCGGGTGCGTCGGGTAGACCAGCGGGTAGCCGGACTTGAGCGCCTGGTCGTGGGCGCAGGAGGCGCTGGCGGCGGCGGCGCCGGCGGCCAGGTGGCTGGCGCAGTGGTAGCTGAGGCAATAGGGGTCTCGGCACAGGCTGGCCGTCATGACGGAGGGCGG